ATCATATTTTGCCATATTTTTGAAATTTTGGCACTCAATTTAAAAACCCGTACCCTTATCCTCCCAGATGCGCTTTAAAGCGCTGTTGCGTGCCCCCTATATAGATTAGGAAAACATATTTAGAATCAGGGACATCCATACTTCATACTTGCAAAGAATTGGAATGAAAATCACCCAAATTATAAACCCTAGAGATATGTTAAATGGGAAGAGTAAGGCATGCAAAAAATAACTACAGTGGCTCCTTGAACAGGTAAAACAAGAAATAAGTTTTACGTCATTTTACGGTGAAGGTCAAAGGTCAAGGTCAAAATGTTGACCTAATTTACTCTAGTTTAGTACAGTGTAATACAATGGTACCAATTTCGAATCAATTTGAGCAATTTTAGCAATTTAACCTTTTTGACCTTTTCAAGGTCACCCGGAGGTCAAATTCCAAAACCACAAGCATATTTAGAATCAGGGACATCCATACTTCATACTTGCAAAGAATTGGAATGAAAATCCTAGTTTTCAACTTTGAGGTCATTTGAAGGTCAATGTCAAAGGTCAAGGTCAAAATGGTGACCTAATTTACTCTATCCTAGTACAGTGTAATACAATGGTACCAATTTGGAATCAATTTGAGCGATTTTGATTTTTGAACTTGTTGACCTTTTCAAGGTCACTCAGAGGTCGGATTCCAAATCCGAAAGCATATTTGGAATCAGGGGCTTCTATTCTTTATATCTGCTCAGAATTGGGATCGAATACACAGTTTTCAAATTTTGCCCCACTGGGGTGCCCCATTTTTCAAATTTGGGGCACCCAATTTTAAAACCCGGAATATATGTGAAATGGCAATTGTGAGGGATGGCATATGCAAATTTTGGGTAAAAAATAAAAATGGTTACTCCTTGTACGTGCAAAAATGCGATTTGACCTTGGCTAATTAGGGAGGGGCTAATTAAAAAAATGAAGGCATTTCCCTGTAGCCCAGGAACATGTCAAGGTTGATGGTATATGCTAATTAGCTGACATGTCGGTGTGTGCGGAGAAATCTTGCGTGGAATAATAATAAGAAAAAGGCGAAAACTATAGAATGCCGTTTCTTCGAAACACGGCATTCTAATAATAACAACAACAGTATGCGCTAAATGGTCAAGGAGGATTGGCTCCCAGAGTGCAACACCAATATTCTGTCCCATATATGGGCATGTGGTGATACGTGCGAACCCTCTGTCAAAATCCTCAAAAGTTCATAAATTAAATTAGGTAAGATTTAGCCCGTTGAAGGCAGAAATATGTGATGAGTATCAGAATGGATTTAACCATTTACTGTGTTCATGTAGACCTATGTAGCATAGTAGTCCCATTCAAATCTAAAACAAGGGCGGGATGTCTAGGAGCAAAATCGTTTCATCTAAATATCTAAACATAGTAGTTGCCCCTTTAATTCGATTCTTGATAATAGTTTTTTTCTGAAAAGTTACTCATTCTCAATGAAGCAACTATGTATCTTTTAGAATCAATATTTTATAATGAAGTGTATTTTTAGAATTTAAATCTTAAATAAAATAGGATTAGTGTCAGAATGAAATGGATTACATTACAATTTAATAAATGAGAAAAGTAGAAACGGTATACTCTTTTATGATCAATGAGTTTTACCTCATATGGACAAACTAGTGACAAAAATTAATGCCAACTTTACATTAAAAGATAATCTTGCAACATTAAACATTAAAATGCCACACAGGTTATCGTTAATGAATAGATAGAATTCAACCATTTACGGTGTTCATATGTAGCATATTAGTCCTGTTTGTATCTATAACAAGAGCAGGGTGTCTAGGAGCAAAATTATTTCTTCAGAATATTACAGTAATACTAATTGGCCATTTATGAATAATAGTTTTTTCTGAAAAGATACGAATTCACAATAACAGAACGGGGTATCTTTTGGAATCAATATTCTATAATGAAATTTATTTTTAAAATTTAAATCTTAAATAAAATAAGATTAGTGTCATATCAGAATGAACTGGATTACATATTACAATTAAAAAAAGAAATGAAGGAACATTAAATAATTTTAGTTGAATAAAGTAGAATATAAGATTTTATAAACAAAGTTGTGTAATTTCAACTGTATCTACTATTACATGTTAAAGGTTATTGTTTTTGGAAATATTTTGAAGTTATGAAATACTTGTATATGTTTAGGTTCAATGATATCAGGTGACAATAGATTAATAATACTACCTTTTGAAGTAAGAGTAAAATGTAAGCTTACATTCGCAAATGCAACTAACAGCTAGTGACTACCGGATTAACCTACTATTTTATGACCAATTCATTTAAATATGAATGGAATTGTGGCAGGTACTATTCATATTTAAATGAGTTTCCCATAAAATAGTTGTTAATCCGGTAGCCGATGGCGTTAGTTGCATTTGCGAATACAAGCTAAGACTGATATCATAGTGTATTATATTGCACAAATAATCAAATTGAGTTAATGTAAAAAAAGGAATTAAAATTTATATGTTAATTAGTAAGCTAATTAATATGCATAAAAACACAGTTGTTATACACTTCTTTTACCCCTATACTCATAATTGAAATACTAGATCGTATTTATTCTACTCTAATTTAGGGTTATGTTATTCAAGTGAAATTAACTCCACTTGTAACACATTTATTTTCTTAGATTTACAATGATACCAAATCTCTGTTCTACATTGTTTACATTTTTCCGGTAGTGTTGATTTAATGACTTAATTTGCATAATTACTGTATTTTTTCAGAGAGAGAATATTCACAGGTAGATATGTTCATTGCAAGTCATAAATTAAACAAAAATAACTGATAAGGGATATTTAACTCCATTTAAATAGATGAATACTACCAAATGTGCCACGCCCCCTTTCAGAAATATTACATAATTTTAAAAAGACAATAGAAAAAAACACTCAACCTACCACAACTGCATATTTGTGGCTTTTTGACCAGGACATGTCTAACTATCAAAAAATGCAATAAAACATTGTATATACTCCAAAACAAGGTTCAATGATAAATCCTTTGTTTTCATCTAGACTATTTTCGGGCAACGTTTTGGGGCCACAGGGGGCCACTGGGATGATGTCATGGGTCACAGAGGGGTACTAGGATACTTTTGAGGGCCTCATAGCAGTACTAATTTGTTTTTGGGGGCCACTTGGGACAACTAGGATGCTTTTGAGGACCACATGGGGCCACTATAATGCTTTTGGGGGGCATCTGGGGGCTATTGGGATGCTTTTTGGGGCATCTGGGGGACACTAGGGTGATTTTGGGAGTCATAGGAGCCGCAAGTATGCTTGGGGGGGGGGCACAGGGGCCACTAGAATGCTTTTGGGGGCCACTCTGGGGCACTGGGATGCTTTTTCGGATCACTGCTGTGCTTTTGAATGTCACTGGGGCCTATTTAGTATTGAATTATAACAAACAGACTAAGTTTTAGTTAATGACAGTGTCAAATTACATGTTTGTTAAAGTTATGATATTATAAATTGGTTTTACAACCACGAAATCATAACCTCTTAACCCAATATGTTATCATGGGCACTTGTGTCTATATCCCGTATTTGGGATGCCTCAAGAACAAAAACAATTTTTTTCTTAGTTATGTTACCCAGGTTAGAAAAACATAAAAATGATTTAAGAAATACTAATGCATTCAATCTGTTGTCATTATTGGGTTAAAATGCTTTTGACTTGAAGCTTCTAGCTCAATTTTGAAGGAAGTTGCATCAATTTTTGTAAAATTCATCTTAAAAACGTTTTTGGGTTGCTTATGCCACGATCGCCCCCCCCCCCCCCCCCCCCCCCGACTGAAAGCTGGCTGCATCCCTGATTAATAATAGCCCTTATGACATAATAACATAACACAATCCAAATCAAATAATTTTCTATAGTTATAAGATTATTTTGTCATTACATTTTGAAAAGAATACATGTCAGTCAACTGGTCAAAATGTAACATTTCCTAAAGAATTCTTGTTTACAGCAGACAGTTTTGCTACATGATGTTACCATAGCAACAGTGTGAATTGAACATTTTTTATTTGAATTGGACATATTTCATTACATTTATTCAATTTTACTATGACCATACATGTATGAATGAAATAAACTTATATACTCAACTAAAAGAAATAAACTAGATGAAAGCATTACTGACCATTTTAAATACAGTAATTTCACAGAGTTATACATCCTGATTAAGATAAAATATGCAAGAACAAACAGTTATGACGTCATAATTAAGATGCAAATTACCCTAATTGCATATTTTATAAAATATATGATTGCTTTATCTATTACCTTTCATTTGGTGCAAATTTCATCTAAAGCTGAGCAATAATGACGAAGATATGGGCAAAACACTGAAAGGAGCCCCTAAAAATGGGTGTGGCATATTTACTTTGTTACCATAGTGACGCTGCTGCGGATTCAGAATTGCCACCTTAATATATTTTGTATATTTTTATATTGCATTATCAATTACCTTCCATTTGTTGTGAATTTCATCGAAATCTGAGCAATAATGAAGGAGATAGGGGCCAAACACTGAAAAGAGCCCCTAAAAGTGGGCATGGCTTATTCACTTGGTTACCATAGCAACGCCGTCGCGGATCCAGAATTGCCAACATCATTTTTCTTGGTAAGTATCACGTATAGTTCATAAAAATATGTGTCGCTTAGCTCGCCTCTTAAAAGGACACAGAACCTCTTATTTGGACTTTTGCTCCCAGACTATATAATACATTCAGAAATAAATTATTTTCCTTCTTAATAACATTTAACTTGTATTTCATATTAAAAAGGACAAACAGTGATAAATATCCATTACAAGATTTGATTCATATGGCACCCGCTCACCCACCTACCCACCCACCCACCCGCACATCCATCTGTTTATCAGCACAAGACAAAGGCAATATAGGATTTTGTTCAAACTTCAATGTTCTTACCTCTATAAATTTTTGGAATGCATTTTTATTTTCTAAGGCATTTTCTAGTACCCTCTCAGATAGGCTGAAGTTCTTGATGTACTGAAGATAACAGTTGGTCAGGTTCTCTTTGGAAAACTACAATAAAAAATATATAAAGTAAATATATATGCATACACATGAAATCCAGGTACTACAGTAAAACTTAAGTAAGACATATTACATGTACAGTGTTTTATCTAAAGGAGTCAAACTTGGGTGCCATCTATCAGTATGAAATTCAAATTATTGACAATAATTTCATTTATGGCAATGTGAGAGTCGGTTAAGGTTTAGGTATGAACAAGCCCTAAGAAGACCATTCCCCGGTTATCCCAGGTAAATGTTTCTGGTAAGTTACACTGAACGAAACATCAAGCTTCAGATCTCGAGAGTACGAGATGAGACTTTAGACGAGATATCGATAGGATTGTAGTTGGAGGGTTTTCTCCCTAGGTGCGTACAAAATCCATTAACATCAATGTAAGTTATACATTTCGATTCTTTTCCCTCACCTCCTTCCCCAGCTTACACCACCAGTTGGAGATTTATTTTCGCCCAAGAAGATGAGTTGGAGATGGTATTATAATATATCCAATTGAGCTAATTAACAGTTATGTCAAATTGTAAACTCTTGTAGCTAATTAACTTAAAGGAGTTGGGTAAACTAGCAACAGAGAGTGCCCCAATTGAAGTGTGAAAAAACTTTTTTTAAGAATAGGAAAAATAAACATCAGAAATGCATAGATTGAAGTCTATATTTTTGGGTAGTATTTTTTAAAAAATTTAGAAAAAATTGTTACGGTGTCTGGAGACCTTCAAAGAGGGTGGGGGCCAGAAGAAAAAAAATTCACATATTTTGCAACCCTCTTGATGAATTCCAATTTACTCAGCTATGAATGAATGTTTTTGATTTATCTGTCCAGGATTATGTAAATATATATTTATTTGATCCATATATACAATTGATTTAAACAATATGTACAGTTTAGAGGTAAGTAAAGCTTTGAAAGGACATTTCATGCTGAGTCTGGGTGACATTTTTATTCACTGGAGGTAGTAATCCTTTGAGTGTTTTCACATAGAGCATAACAAGTCTCCACTCTAATAAGTGCTTCTTTAGTTACATAAATGTTATATTGTTGCATACAAAGAATAATTTTGATGGAGACTTATTATGCTCGATGTGAATTTTAGAACTTTATAGAAAATTTTGCCTGCCATTTTTGTTGATTATTCAAAATGGCCAAATGCTATTCATGCTGCATATGTAGGAAGCAGGGCATTATAAAATTTTAGATGCTAAAATACCTGAAACATCAAGTGGTTATATGTGCACAACATCTGAATCAGGTAGTTCAAGTGATGATGAGTAAAACTAATCAGAAAATGTTTCATTGTTATTTCATTAACAAGCCAATGATGAAATGTGTTGAGATTTTAGATGTTTTTCACCTTTTAGGTGATCTCCAAGAAGTGATTATCTCCATTATCTGTACTTACTGTTTCCTAGACATTATCAGAATGATTGATAATAAACTTAATAGTTGCTTTAAAATTATGTTGAATAATATCATTATGTTGAATTAAAATATATACAGTGTGTGTGTGTTTAGTGTGTGGTTTTTAGCATACCCTATGTCGCTAACAGGAAGCAGGACATATTTCTCATAAAAAATAAACATTACTTTACGAGTCAAATCATGAAATGTACATTCTGAATTTAAATGAATTAAAAATAATAAAGTATTTTCATTATTTTAGGTACTTTTGTTCTCTTTCAGTGTTGCGTGGGAAGGGCGGAATATATTAATATAAATATCTCATTATTGGCAAAATGCCAATTCACTATATATTGTAATTCCAACCTCTATGAGACTAAATTCCTACAGATATTTGTGATATTTTAACCAAAAAGGTATATTTTGGTAGAAAATAATGAAATTTTTAATTTGACCTTGACCTGGGGAATATGACCTTGACCTAAATTTTCATACATTTTTGAAACACATATATCACATAGATTAATAAAATAAAGAGAAAACTTGAAAATCAGGTGGGGCTTAAAATGGCCTTGTTTACCCAACTCCTTAGCCATTATTTTCCAAGGTATTGTGTTTTGTGTTAATTGGCTCAATATTTATTTATATTAATTTTATATTAATAATTTTACATGTACGACTCTCACGGCCATATCTATACTCTACATGAACATAAAATGTTTTGTAAAATATTAACTCACTGTAGCATTGAATCTTAATATTTCCAACCTCATATTGAACAAATATTTCACTCTATTTTCGGTGAATACCTGTAGCACTTTCACAAGTGATATTCCACGAAGCCCGAAGGGCAAGTGGAATATCACCTTGTGAAAGTGCTACAGGTATTCACCGAAAATAGAGTGAAATATTTGTTTTATTATATCACTGTCTAGCTAAACATCCCTAATATTATTAAGTCATAGGTTAACATTGAAATACATTGAATCTACTCGGTTCGTCTGCCATTTTGACTTACACTGAACTAAATTATTTACACTGAACGAAAACAAATTCTTTGAAAATTCCCGGGAGCGTGGGATATAGCTATATATCTCACGGTTGTCTTATCTGATTAGCATTGCCATTGAATATCGCCAGATATCCCACGACATGTGACCCGGTTTTGACCAATCATACTGTCGCTAGCTAGATAGTGATATAATAAATAAAGATATTGCTGATATAAAATAGACTAAATATGGAATAATTGCTGAAAAATATCATACAATCAATACCGAATACCCTAGAAAATCAAAAAAATTCAAAACAAATAAGACAAGGTCATTCAATTCATTGGAGGGAACCCTAACATCAAACACAGCCTTCCGCAGAAATAAAGTACATTTACATTCCTAATCGCTTGATATTTTTATAGTAAACAGAATTGTTATCTTTCCTCTGTTAAATACTATTTCAAGACTTTATTATCATAGCTTCCCGAAGCTTTATCTGGAAACTATACGTCTGCTCAAATTTTCAATTCCCTTCTTATTTCTTTAATTTCTGAATTAACTACTGTTTTTCTTGTATTTATATATACAGGATAGAGACTAGAATATACACATCATGGGAATCAAACTTATCGAGCTTTTTAATCTCACATTTAGCATGCAATAAAACGAACACCTGGAATTCCATTTATGGGCATAACTTCCTATATATGATGATAAGAATGCCCTATAAAACATAGGAAATTGGATATAAACAATCACATATCAACATGCACAATTCGATAATTGAGTTTATTTTTCTAAAACCTGAAGAACATGAAAAACATTTGACATTCAAAACTGGCATATTTTTTTGTCAAGGTCAATCTGCTAAAATTACTAGTTTAGTAATTTACAATGCCTGAGGAAAGAAATTCTTTCTGAGACATTTACCTCCAAGAATTCTGTGCCTTACGTTATCTCATTTGCATATGTTAATAAAGCTATGTCATTATGAAGAACACTTTGTTCAATTAGTTTTTTAATGAGGCATCTTAAAATGTACAAATAAAAAAATCACCGAATTCTACTCTGGAGTACTACTTACATAAAAATGTATTGTGCTGAATTAATTTTCTCAATTTGTTTTATATAAGACACCGTGTTGATCCATTATTTAGACAACTGCTATGACTCTACTGTTACATATAGATAGCATGTGCAACTCATGTAATTAAGCTCTCAATGTTTTTAACAAAATTAAATGATAATAAAAACATTTGTTTTCTTATAATGCAAGCACTGTACGTTAAAATTCAAATGGAAAATTACATGCTATTTTATAGAATTGAGGTCTGTCTTTTGATCAATTAGAAAAAAGATATACTGTACTGTGAAAGATGTGCCTCAACTGAAATCAAACATTATTTCTGTTATCACTTCTCTGGAATAAAATGTTCCATCTATCATCATGCTTTTTCCGCAATGTGAGCCAAAAGAGAAGAATCTTCATTGAGTAAAACAAGGAATGAATACTTCGCATAATCATAAAGTTATAATAAGACAGCCCATTCAGCCTGGTCCTGAACACTAGCATTGGGATATGAACAAGATGGAAGATTTGGGCTGGAATTTCCACTTCACTAAAAAAACATTGCTATATCCGCTGCTCTGTTAAAATAACCACCAATTAGAATTAAAAGAAAATCTCCAAACATCTGGTCCCAGTTGAACTTGAACAAACTTGGCCGTTTGAAGTGGAGAACCTATTTTAAACTCTAGCCGTGTACTAATGTACAGTGAAACCTTGCAAAGTGAACACTTATGATTGAAAATTGAAAATATCTGCGGGATGTATGACACAACAGAAAGTTGCATGACCTAGCCCAACTTCCAGAATCTTTTTAAGTTCAGACAGGTTAACAATCAACGTTTATCCGGGAGTCTGAAGATCAACATCAACATTCTTAGCAGATTTCTGATATTCTAGCAAAATTGCTTTCTCGCTGAGAAGAAGTCATTTTATGACATAACTGTGACAATTTACATACTTTGTGGTATGCACCCTGCTTGTATAGTTAAGTTCTATGGCTATTGCATTGTAATCACTTGAAGGTGTTCACCAAACAGGGTTTCACTGTATACTTGCACAGTTGTACAAGTACTAGCTCCGTCTGGTAAAAGCAGGAATGAATTTCACCACAAGCAAGCAATGGAAATATTATTCTAACCTGAGGTTGCCAAATGTTAGTATTATAAAGTGAAAATTAGAGTTCAATAGCCTATTTGGAATTTACTATTAATGTACATGTTTCAAAAATGATTGAGAATATTACAGGTCTATCTAAACTCCAGCAAGTGACTCTGTTAAACTAGATTCAAATCTCCACAAACTCACAATCAAAATTCTCCACTCATTTTCAAATGACCACTTTTATACGTAATTGTCATGAATAATTGAATGAACAATAGGCCTTTCCAACAAATCGTGACCTTTTGGCGGACCTGGGAAACAAGGGCATACTGCCGAATTTTTGATGTCATACTTTGCAGGTTGAAATCTAACTAAATATTGTAAGATGTTTTTCAAATGAGCAACTATTTAATTCTGTTTCTGCCATGATACACTAAGTTTGAAGGTGCCGTGTTACTTTAATAATCAATTGTTTTTTGACACAGATCTAATTAATGTAATTATCTCAACTATTCAGGTTCATCAAATCATTTTTTTTTTTTATAATCTGTTTTATTTCATTATATACAAGTACAAATAGTTTCTGATATAAGTGACCAATCGCTATGGAAGGATAGCATTATAGGTTCACTTTAAATATAAAAAGAACATTGAGTATGTGAAAAAGATGTATTTTTCTGACAAAGGGGTTTGCTGGTCTTTGCTGGGCAATGGTGCTGGGGCAAGGTGATAAGATGATCTGTTGGAGCATAAGGAGGCCATCTTGAGCATTAAGTGGAATTGTCTGATAAAAAATTTGTAACTAGTTTGAAAATCATAATGTTCTGTTCAGTTGAAAGATCAGGATGACCAAATAAAAATGTTTTGATTAGACCATTTTTGTCCATTTGAAGGTTACCTAATAAGTGGAGGATGTTGACATTTAGATTATGAGAGTTCAGGTTGAGACCACAATTGAAAAATATGTGCTTGACAGTTTCGACTTCGCCACATTGACAGTTTGGTGAGTCTACATTTGTGAAGTTATGAGCATACATTTGTGATTTTAAAAATAAGTCCACTCTCATTCTGTTAAGAATGATTTCTTGAGATCGTGACAGGGTCAAATTGGAAGTTGATATAATTTTGTTTTTATATTTGATCTCATTTTTGAATGAATAAGAAGATGGGCTATTTTTGATATTGCTGGGGACTGAGTCCCATTTTTCCATCAACTGTATACATGGTGATCTTCTGAATTTTGTAGATATATTAAGAGGAATTTGGTAATCACGAATATATCGGAGTTGTCTTGGGTTGTGGTTTTTGAATGGTCGAAATATATCAGTTACATAGGAGGGTGCCCTATCATTTTGGATATTGTACATAATTTTCTTAAAGTGGTAATCTCTTATGAAAGTTAGATCAGGCCAATTTAAAATATTTAATGTCTTAGATGTGCTGGAGCCATGTAGTGCTCCAGTGCATATGAGGGCAGCCTGGTATTGCAGCCGGTCAAGATTTTTGAGATCTTTTAGATTACTATTGTGATATAATATATCACAATATTCAAAAAGGGGTTTTATATATGATTTATACATTGTTTCGAGTATTTTTGAGTTTAATTTGAATTTAAGGGATTTTAAAGGATTTAGTGCAGTTTGGACTTTGTCGCAGATATAAGAGATGTGTGGGGATCCTGATAAGGTTGAGTCAAGAATATAGCCAAGGTGTTTATGATGATTTTTTCTTTGGATTTTTGCATTGTTAAGAGTCAAAAAGGGATAATTTTCATTTTTTACTTTTGAGAAAACAATTTCAACTGATTTTTCCGGTTTAAAGTCAAGTTTCCATAATTTTGACCATTCTTCAACTGTCTGAAGATCAGATTGTAAAATTTGATGAGAGACTGGGTCATTTGGAGTACAGGGCACATATAAAGATGTGTCATCAGCATAGATGAATGATTTTGAATTTAACCTATCAGGCAGATCATTTATATAAAGGAGAAACATAATTGGCCCAATTATACTTCCTTGAGGTACAGATAGATCAATGAAGTGTTCATCTGATGAATTTGAAAGTTGTCCTTCCACATTAACTTTAATTTGTCTGTTTGAAAGGTATGATTTAAAAAGCTCTAGGAAATTTCCATTAAAACCATATGCCTTAAGTTTTCTGACCATTAGGTTGTGCGGTACGCGATCAAACGCGGCCGAAATGTCAAGGAATATTCCGCGAGTGTCTAGTCCATTTTCAAAATTTGATGAAATTAAATGATTTATTGCAAGTAACTGGTGTTCTGTACTGTGGCCCTTTAAAAATCCTGATTGGTGTTTGAAGAAAAGGTCATGTTTAAGGAGGTGGTCCATCATTTGCTTGTGAATTATTCTTTCCAAAATTTTAGATACAATACTAAGCAGAGTTATAGGTCTGTAATTCTTAATGTTATTTTTATCACCCTTTTTAAAGATAGGACATATTATCCCAAGTTTCCAATAATCAGGGAAAATTCCAGTTTCAATGATTTTGTTAAATAAGGTGCATAAAGGAATGGAAATAGATTCAGAGCACAGTTGTAGCATTTTGACAGTGATATCATCAGCTCCGCATGCTTTCGAGGAGTCAAGGTTTTGAATGATAGTTTTAACTTCTTCGACAGTTGTGAGAGAGATTTCAACAAGGTTGTTGGTACGAAGAGGAAAGTTAACATCAAGGGTTTGATTTTGGGTACCAGAATGATAAGTCTGAGAAAAATAGTGCAAGAACATTTCTGCTTTTTCTTCTTTAGTTTCGGCAATTTTGTCAAGTTGTTGATTGAGGATTGTTGGAATTGGATTTTTAACATTTTTACCCAGGAGTTTCTTGATATTGGACCAAAAACCAATGCTAGAAGATTTTTCTTCAGATAGGTGGGAGATTATTGAATTTGTGTAGTTTACCTTAGCGTCACAAATCAAGGTTTTACATAAATTTGACTGAGTCTTATATGCATTGTTATTTTGATCAGTGTTCCGATGTTGAAATCTTTTATAAAGTTTAGCTTTCTTGCCTAATTCATGGGAAAGTTTACTATTGAACCAGGGTCTGTCATTTTCCTTAATACGTTTCAACTTGTTGGGAATATGTTTCCTAAAAATTTTGAGCAAAAAACTGGTAAAATCTTTTGTAAGAGAGTCTAGATTTCGATAGTTATTAAAGAAATTATTCCAATCATGATTAGTTATAGCTTGATTTAACATATGAGTATCTGCTTGGTCATATTTCCATATGGTTTTAAGTGCAGGTGTAGAAGCATAACCAGGTAAATCAACTTTAAATAATAAGGTACTATGGTCAGTATTCCCAATTGGGTCCAGAATTTGAACATCACCTACAAGCAATCTATCATTTGTACAGGTCAGATCGATGCATGATTTTGAAGAGGTAGTAACACGTGTTGGACCTTTAACAAGTTGGTCGAAACCATTTTGGAAAAATATATCATTTAAATTCTGGCCAATGGCATCCTCAGTGCCATCTTGGTATTGGTATCAAATCATATTGGTCAATACAAATCATACGAAGGACTAAAATTGATAGAAATAAGTTGAGAATTCTTAATTAAGTTCATCTTCGCCATGTTTCAAAATCATGCTACAGAGATGCCAATTACATGTGAAAATATACCAATAACATCATTTCAAAGGGCAACATGGTGAAATATTGGACCAAGGGCCGAAAGCTCAGCAAGGTGGTCATAATTTAACCTCACAAACCTGTGCTTTGATTTTATCTCCAATGGTCTTGGTATCGTCCCATCTCCTCCAGAGGGCCTCTAGTGCGTAGAAGTAAGCCGCATGGTGGTTCATAAGTTCGGGAATTTTATTAAATATATCATCAACCAGTGTAGAGTCAATCACACTCGTAGACTTCAATGGCACCATGTATTTCTGGAAATAAAACATTATTTCATTTTTAATTTGCATATCGATAGGTCTCATTCAAATCTACTTCCTTCCTCTCATATATGGGCCACCCATTTTGACTCATCCTAAGAAAGGTGAAGAGGGCGAAATATGCAAAGTGAAACCATACTTAACAGTCAAATACGCACATGCTGAAAGTAAGAATGTGGTGAATAAAGTCAACGTTTTTGCCGAGCTACAGACAGATACCAGTCATTCAACCTTTATATTTGGACACCTTGAAAATGCTACATAAACAGTGTTCTATACAAAGAATGAAAACATAAATGCTACAACATCACGATTTGACCAAATGGCAATAAGTCCAAACTGTGATTGGCATCAATTTTGCAAGCCCATAGCCGGGAGTAGACTGATTGCAAAGGTCAGTCAAACACTGCATAGAGCAACAATTGGATGATGAATAAAGACAAGGTATTAACATGCAAAATGTCACTACCTGCCATTTTTTACAGACACCAACCGCCAAATGCCAAACACCACCACCAAACAGGATCAACAAAAGAGTTGGAGACTATGACAATATGTCGCTTCTTGTGATGATGACATAAAAACTATCAAAGGATCTGAGCAGTTAATAATAAATCATGGTGGTAATCCATCCATATCTACTTTGTTCAGCATGGTACATATTCCAAGAAACATCACGTAACTTCCTATGGGGAAATCCACTTGTAACAAGTATGTACATGTATGTGGGTACGAGAAAAAATTACATAAAAGATAACACCAACAAAGCAAAAACTAACCAATCAAAATGCTTCATTCTCATAATATTATGTATATCAAGTAATACACATTCCGATTCTCAAATACTTCCTTAAATCTACTTCCGCGAGAATTGCATCAAGTACCTTGTATTGCCACCCCTCATCAGAATTCCACGACATTTATATTTGAGCACAGTAAGAGATGTGTATGGGGGATCAAAATGGGGAGAATAGGTAAGGATTCCATAGAGCACCAAAAGTGCATACATAAATAGTATGGTTATGTAAAACATTATATTATATTGTATAACACAAAAGTGCTTTATTTAATTATATCTTGGCCCTGTAGGAAGAAACTTATTTTCACTTTGGTTTAAAGAGGGGATATGTAGAAGATAACAACTCTTGAATAGAATTTGTGAGAGAAAACAAGATTTGGGAGAAAATGAAGAATGGTAGTAGGGGAATTCCATATTTAAACGGTACACTCAATATTATATCTATAAAATTAAAAGTATCTTATGTATCAATTTTGAATATTTTGAAAAAAAATCGGTGGAATTGCCATCAAAAACAAAGTTGGGAATCTTTTTTGGTTGGAATGGTTGCTTCCAGAGATAACCCCTAGGCTAAATCATTCAAATGTCCACTGCTATTTTACCATTTTTCTCTAGCTGTATACAGAAAAAATGTCTGGAAGATTCTAGTTAAGATTAGATATAAAGGTAGTATATGTTTGTACACTGTTTCGGTTATTCACCTATGCTCTATAATGTTTAGTAATCAAATATTGTGACACATACTTTATTTACTGGACTTCCCCCACCCTTGACCTGGAAAATTGAATCATACACTAACACATTTCCCTCTTTGTACAAATCAATTGTAATCAAAAGTAAATTCACTAAAACATAACTAATTTATACCAAAATGTAAATTTCCAATGCCAAACTATCAAATTAAAATCAACTACTGAATGGTAAAACTTAGAACTACAAATATATATGACAATGAAGTGAAATTTTTTGTAAGCAACACTAGGGAAGTATCTCAATAGATAGGAGCAAGGTCAAGGTTAAATGGTTAATAGATTAAGACATCCACAGTTCCTGACATTCCAGAAAATAATCATAGTTTCTAGAACCCGCCTGTTACCAGGGATTGTAGCTTCCTTGATAATTTTTTTAGAAGTTACACAATTTTTCAAATTTGTTCCATGAAAGTTATATTTTCTATTCTAGAAAATTTCAAGTTTCATTCATAATTTGGACATAATAGAGTCCTAAAGCTTGCACATAAAATTGACCAGAGAATGTATCCATAATGTATAAAATAAAAATAAAATATGCATGTGCAACACATTCTAACATTGCTTTGATGTGCAAACTTTGATGATCTTTCTAATCACATTCACAGGGGCAGATCTGGGAACCAACAAGGGGGGCAAACTTCATGTCTGTGAAAAAGACTTCCGCCCTTAAACCAAAAAGTGGGGCCAAAATTTGAAATTTTGAGGGCCATTTTCTTCAAAGTTGGCCTAAGATTAAAAATAAGGCTTTAAAAGGCCCGGTAATGACCAAAAAGGCCCACTTTTTGGTGCATTGAGGCTAGCTAGTGTAACCACTTTCAAACCATAATTGACCATTCACAAGAATTAATACACCTAAAGGAACATTCTAACCAATTATAACTCTCTTTATAATTAACACATCTATCATAACAAGTTATTTATCAAAGTGCAACTACTTTCAAACCACAGTTGACCATCCACTAGAGTAAACACACCACTGGGATCCTACATATTCTGATGTGTTTGTTTGAAACTGAACAGATCAATTTTAGTGACAGATAAACAAGAGGCAATATCTAGAACAGTAATGTCTTATGATGTATTATACAAATAAAACAGTCATATAAACAAGGAAATATTTGACACTCACAGTGTATTTATATTATTTTTTACAAATATAAAAAATTGTCACCATGATAAACAAGGCATTAATGTGACAAAATGTCACCACCTTGTAAGTTATCTCAAATGGTTAAAAGAAATGGTTATAAAATGTTACAAGTCAACATATTTGTTGCCATGGTTACATTTCAAGTTACATTTCAGTCAGTATGTAAGAAATGTGAGAAGTGCTTTAAGACAAATAATCAGTTACCATGGTAACATATATTCATTGTCATGGTAACTGAAGCTGCCAAAAATATGTAAAAGGTCTTAACATGTATATATGTGTTAATAACAATACAAATTTCAACTCTATGTGTACCACTTACTTCTGTTACTTATTGCAAAAGGATACAAAATGTTACAGTCCACTTATTTGTTACCGTGGTAACAGATATTGGCAGAAATGTGTTAGAACTCATAACACATCTATATATGTTCAAAAATCTGAAGTCAATCAAAACAGAAACTGTTATAAGTTGTTGGAAGTTGTAAGAATTTGTTACTGATACCAACTGCTGACCACCAAATGCCAAACGCTGACCACCAAATGCCAAACGCTGACTATCAAACAGCATTCACAAAAAAGAAAATTCCAAAAGATGATACTGATGAAATTTCAGCTTTTATTAATAAAAACTCTTCGCCTTATAACAATTAGTTCAGGACTTATGGGACAACCCTCATAAAAACAACATTTCCCGATTGTAAGTCATGCTTCAAGACTTTGCCCGCCCCCCTTCGGTTTTCTTTAATACCCGCTAGTGTGTGATTTGTGCAGTCAAGTAGTGGGTCACAAGGCCTTGTAGTTCGACTACCCTAATCGTGTGTTTTTTTCTTTGACTCACCTCAACCATGCACTTCAAGGCATCAACATAGTCGCTTTCATTGGTGATGATTTCTTTCACAACCTTTGTACGATCATTCTGAAAATAACAATAGTCAAACATTTTAAATCATAAAATAACATTAAACATCTACTACACAAGCCTCTAAAAAATACATATTAGATACATATTAGAATTGCAGCTAATTGTATGGCATTGTATATATAGTGCTATAATATCTAAATGTAATAAACAAAAATTAAAAATACACATTTAAGTAGCTCAGTACAGGTTCTAAGCTTAAAGTCTATCATATTATATCATTTATATTTAAGGAATAAAGGCCGAGATTTTATGAATTATAGCTTAATATATGGAAAGACTGAAATCGCATAGCGATTGAGGTCTTTGGCAATGACCAGAATAAAATTTGAGTTGGTTGTTACGATTCTAATATGATAAAAATAGATAAGAAACACAACTATTTCATTTATGAATTTTAGCAGTCATATATACTCCAATATAGACCAGTAAATCAATTGTTCTAGCTATTGCAGGCCTGTCAACTTGGGAACACCTTACATGAGTGACTTGGAAATGTTGAACACCTCCCCTCAAAATGTGGACACCTTGGTCCAAATCTGGACACCTTGATCCACATTTTGAATACCTTGGTTTAAATTTTATTACATCTAGCCAAATTTTGAACACCTCAAAATTTTCGCGCTCGCTACGCTCCCGTTTCAAACATCCGTCAATGGGGGGGGGGGGGGGTAGGTACGAAAAATTTCGAACAGAATGCGTGACATATACGTAATTCGCGTGAAAAGTCCGAACGAAATGCGTACATTTTTTCCGGCGTTCATATTTTTGCTGTGTAGACGATCTTTTTTAGAAATTTTTCTACAGAAATATTTTTGCTTGACAATTACCAGGTAAAATGCGTATTTGCGTGACATTTTCTGTCACGCAAAAATAACTGGCGTGACTTCAAATTCTTCAGCAAATGCGTGACAAATACGCAAATTGCGGGACAGTTGACAGGCCTGCTATTGTGACGGCAAGTATTATTAATAGAATTGTAATTATACAATTAAATATAATTTATGCAGAAAGTACATGACGTAGAATATTTTGTTTATAGTACAAAAGTGAATGGTTGCACATTCATTTAAAAGCGAATATATGAATGCCACAACTAGAATTAGCATAGCAATTTGATCATAAAAACAACATGTGCAAATGAAGGATGGTGTCCTATACACCAATGAAAGGAAAGACCAGAGAGGTGAATGGCTGAAGACAGTAAATGATGTATAGGGTGACCCCAAAACTATAACTCTATATTTTTGGAATAACCTTGTCAACAATGACTGAATCCCCTTGATTTTTTAGTATAGATGAAGTGTTCAAATGTTCGAAACAGTGATGTGGTCATACAATTTTGAATGCTTCAAGTTTTAACAGAAAATTCAGTGAAAAAATTCAGAAAATTTTTCACTGAATTTTCTCGTTGTTTATAACTTTTAAAAAACAAATCTTCTCACCAGTCTTTTCTAGGCACATAAGTGCACTCTTTATGCAACAAAACTTGATGATGTAGACAATGTGGGGAAGGAGTGATTCCTGTTTGAAAAATAACATGTAACGGGTGAAGTGAGTTAAAATTATGGCTGTTTTTATTGATGGGTTACATTTTCATTGGGCCACACTGTCTGTTTTAAGTTACTATGACCCTATTTGTCTTATCTAGATGCGTCTCTCATTTATTTACTGGACACCTGCGTTAATTTACTTTTAAGTACATACAGGTTGTGCATAGAGTCTCTTTACAACTAAAATACGAAAGGGTAGAAAGTTTATGGACACTGTCTATGTGTATCTATGCATTCAGGTCATAGCCACCCCCCCCTGAACATGTATAAAAACATTAAGTCGAGATCCCTTATATATGTTCCCAGGGCCCATATGTTCCCAGGGCCTATATGTTCCTACCCTTCGCATTCGTTTGACTTCACTTCTTAAGAGAGAGCTTCGTCTTCACTCTTTCAAACTAAAATAAACCTGTGAACTCACCGCGCCAATCAGTGTTCGTCGGCCAAATTTGACCGACGTTCTATATATGGTCATTCCTTCTGACGTCATCGCGGAGCCCGGAAATTGACCAATGACATGAGCATATTTAATTAGAACGCATTTGGCGTGTGTTTATTCAAGCTCGCTGAATGGTGGAAGAAAGGTCAGCGCATAGGTCAGAAGTGATTTATTACTCAAACTGTCACCGGTACCCGTCGTGGGGGCGGGTCTACTAAACTGTAATATGGTCTCTACTAGGCAGAGTGTAGTTTAACTAGACTCTGCACGCAGGGTAATATGTTCCAAGGGCCAACACATTTTCTAAACAGGAAAATCTCATATTGTGTTCTACTTTTAAGACATTTGTTGAAGAGCAAACAACTGATGGTTGTCAGGTCATTGACATCCTACTTAAGATGTGTGAATATTAATTGTAGGACCATCTTCTACCCTAACAATAAGTACAACTGCAGTGATGATTTTTTCACTAATGAATAAACAAAAAAGATACATGTATATGAGAAAATAACCGGAGAGGTATGATATCATTATTAGCACAGTCTCAACAGGAAATCCTTCATAAACAACAACAATTATTTATCAATCAAAAAAGATGTACTAAGTTTTAAAGAGGGGGGAAGTTGATTGAATGAAGTTAAAAGATATAAGCTCATCAATTTGCAGTTTTATCTTCAAAAGTGACCAGTCATTATCAGAACATTGACGAAATATTGCTACTGAATGCCAAAACAATAAATTATGATAATCATACAAACAGTAAATATGATCTATCAACTGATACTGATAGACACAGAAAAATAATTTAGACAGCATGGGAAATGACATCATAGATAGATAAGCTCAAAAGTGCACCTTGCGGGTTCCAGCCTAATATAAGTACCCGAAAAGGTACCAAACAAGGAAGCAAGTGATCAATTATACTTGATTCTCAAAGGCAGAAAAACACTGTTCAATATGCATAAGTGAAGTTTTATGATGATTCGCCTACTTGAGTAGTCTATAACTATATACGGTGAAACCTGTATATCTGAACACCTCTCTAATCCGAACACCTCCCAATGTGAACACTTTTCTTGGTCCCATATTTGTTTTCTTCCTTTGACACGTTTATAAGACCTTGAAATATGAACACCTGTTAATCCATACAATTTTGACCAGAGAGGTGTTTGGATTGGACAGGTTGTACTGTACATTGAAACCAGACATTTAAAATCCCAAATTATGCTGAGAAATGGTCACTAAATCAATAGTAGTCTAATCAAATAATTGGAGTTTTAATCTTAGTTTTTGACATTTTATAATCTATATTCTATAGATCTTAAAAGGTTATTTGCAATACATGACCAACTCCAAACGCTCCTAAGTGACAGTATTTAAAGTTTAAAGTATCTCAAAAATGTCTACCAGTTTTTAACCTCTACCTCAAAATAATCAGGTGTATCATTGGTTTTCTAGTAACACAGCCTAAATACAACTTGATTTTATACCATTGTTCACCAATGATGAATATTACTATACACCAATGTTCATTACTCTTATTATTGCTTTCAATATTAATTTTTTTTAGTTATTTTGATACATCCAAGCATGTTCATCTTAGTGTTTTTTCAACCAGTGAAGATGCATGCATTTGTATTGTAACAAAGTCTTAAAATAAAATTATACTCCCAGATGAATTTTTTAATTGATGAGTATTTTTGGTATATTGCCAATGCACAGTAGACAAGAAGTCTTCATGATCATGTACAATACAAAGTTACACGGCAACAATAAACTGTAGTACAATCATGTTTACTTAATACTCTTTAATTTTAGAGAACAATTGTGACAGGGAGGTGAACCACATGTTGCAATGTTTGGGTTGATGTCCATTTCCTTAATGTGATTTTGTGTGAAATTTCTTGATTAAGGTGAATGGTGTTACAATGTACAAGTACATTGAAACATCTTAAGCGGATCACCTCTAGAAGTGGAACACTTCTGTTACCGGAACACTTTTCAAAGTCCTAAAAAACTTTATGTTAAATGAACCTCTATTAGTAGAACACCTTACAAGTGGAACATTTTTAAGAGGTACCAAATGTGTTCCACTTAGACAGGTTTTACTTCACTATAAATGGGTGGTGTAGACATAAATGGGTGGTGATACAGCCACTGAAATTATTACTAAAATTTTAACAAAAAATATTCAGTCCAAACATTATTAGGAATGGACCATTACGAAGTTGAACTTGAAACAAAACATTTTTCTGATACAACTGAATCCAATATACTTTCCTCTTATTCACTATTGATCAGAGTCCATCTTTACCTTATACTTGTGATATCTGCTATCTTCAAGAGATAAGAGAAGCTGTGGAGCTTACAGTACTTTTGCATCTATTATTTAATCCTTTGCACCATGGGCATGGGATGTAATGAGAGATGGGCACATTAAACCAGAGCACATTGTACCAAAAGACTATGATGGGATATCCTTTTTAAAGTTTTCATGTGGAAAGGTGCCTTTTGTGCAATCAATGACTTTTAGGAAAGCTATTGGCAAAGGCACTACAACATGTGGATCTTGTGAGATGTACTTTATTAGAACAACCAGCATACACAGGTGTTCTTTCACCAATAGGCTGTGCTGAGTAGAAATGTGACCGCTCTGGTACAAGTCTTCAAACTCAGTTTAGATAAGGACAACCTACTTTTACATAATATAGTCCTCACTATTTTACATGACCATTCTGATTTTTCATAGCATAGCAACATCCAAGGTGGGGGCTCCAGAGGCCTCCGCCCGGCCCTGGATCCGCCAGTGATAATTATAACTACTAATTTTGAAAAAGTAATGAACACTGCTTAGCCAAACCCAAATAATTCAATTTTCATGGCCCATAATCATGATTAGAAAAATAATGGTATTTGGCCTTATAAGATAATAATATAATATGATTGTGCCATATCTTGGTGACCGAAATAGAGTGATTGTCCCAGACACTGCAATTATTTTAGTG